ACCTTAATCCCATAGAAAATCTGTGGAGGGAGCTGAAGGTTCGAGTTGCCAAACGTCAGCCTCGAAATCTTAATGACTTGGAGAAGATCTGCAAAGAGGAGTGGGACAAAATCTCTCCTGAGATGTGTGAAAACCTGGTGGCCAACTACAAGAAACGTCTGACCTCTGTGATTGCCACCAAGTACAAGTCATGTTTTGCAGAGGGGTCAAGTACATTTTTCCCTCATTAAAATGCAAATCAATTTATAACATTTTGACATGCGCTTTTCTGGATTTTGTTGTTGTTATTCTGTCTCTCACTGTTCAAATAAACCTACCATTAAAATTATAGACTGATCATTTCTTCGTCAGTGGGCAAACGTACAAAATCAGCAGGGGATCAAATACTTCTTTCCCTCACTGTATATAATACAGTACAGCAGTAATTTTTTTTACAAAAGTCAACTATTTTCCATGAAAAATATCAACAAAATACACTGGTGGGGTATAGGGTGGCGATCACCCCCATGGCCCCCTCCCCACCACCTTGCATCCACGATGTCCTATGAAGAAAGGTCATTATCCGAAACGTCGCTTTTTTTCTTTTAAGTCCACAGTGCTATTGACAAATGTGTTGAGTGTTTTATTTTTTGCCGAGAGAATGGTTGGTTTTGTGAACAAAGGGCAGGTGTAGAACTCGCCCTCGAGCTGATTGAATGTCGCTTGCAGTGCAGATGTGAAGCACCCATGCCGCTGTAAACGTCGAGATTTAAGCTAGTGATTGTTTTTACACAAACCAATCACTCTAGTCTACTACCAACACCGTCATTGCCGGCGCCTTGTTGCTTATAGCTAAGGCTCCGGATTTCGGCACGGTTATTTTTAGTAGACTTCACGGCCGAGGTGCGCGTAAAACGATAGTCCATAGGGGGGTGCGGGGCCCGGAGTAAATCACACTTTGGGCCCCCGACCCCTGCAATGCCCTCCAAAGTTTGGGGCCCAGGGCGGTCGCCCGATTTGCCGCAAGCCTAGAGACGGCTATGATATTATGTTTAATAAAATAATATATATGCAATTTGAATTATCTTTCATTATAATGATGGGTATGTGCTAGTGCTTATCATACCTTAATACAGTACCAATTTATTTTCCATTCCAGAGGTCGTATGTTCCGTTGTTCCTGTGTCAATGACGTCACCTTGGTGTGTGATCTGTTGGATGTACTATGCTGCCATGTGCTTTGACGTTTACCATTGTCAATTGTTCGTTGAACGCTATGTCAGGAGCAGCAGATAATTAACGTTGTTTTGGTGTTATTAGGGTCCGTTAAGGTTATGATGATGATACACGTGGGAAATTGTATTCTAACTGTCACATTTACTGTCAGCAGAAACTATGCCGGGATCGGTGGAACAAAGGTATGGGTTGACGGAGCTCTGTCTGTAAAAAAACAACAACAATAGGCATGCACTGTGTCCTTTAGCACATTCGAAACGTATAGACATTGCTCGTGTGTACGATACACCACATTTTCTGAGATCTCAACACAACGAAGCACGGTATTATACACCATGAACAGCCCCGGTTATCTATCCAATGCTGGACAAGTGCATCCCGACAACGTGTAGGGGTCGTGATTCGTTGTGGATTTGTGAGGGCAGTGGAGCATAGACGTATTGTACAATACAAGTGGATTTGGCTGCACTTACTCTCTGCTGCTCTGCACATCGTAGCCCCCCACAATAACCTGTACCACCTGTTGAATGCATGTGCTCAACCATACAACCACTATCCATCCAGCCTCAATCCTGCTCATAAGAGTCCGAGATGTCATGAAATCGGGTGTGATTTGGTCAGAGTCCAACTATTATTATAAGAATGAGTATCACGGTTAACTACCTACGGTGTCAAAGCAGGTCAACATATATACATAATTACAATTTCTATAGCGCTGTAACGCAGCAATTAATCGCAAGGGCGCTGGAGATGAATGTGTCCGTTTTACCATGAGAGCCTCTCACTATTTGAGGAGGATCACTGCTGCTGATCATGTTTCGCCGTTTTATTGTGGAGAACAGTTTGTCCGTCAGAGAGATCGGAGTAACATGTTTAACCGGATTAAATTCACCGTGACATGTTTGCCTCAACACTTCAAACGACAACGCGGGGACTTTAAGAACACTCGAGGCGGGGGTGTTTGCAAATGTGTAGCAATTCCTACGATGTTCATGAAAAAACATGAGGTTTTTTTTTTTACAAATGATCTAGCAATGGGTTTTCCCGCAAAATGCGCAAGTTGCGATGGCAGGTGGTTGTGGTCAACCACAGTCTCGTATCTCCATGGCATTTTGTGCTGAAAGCCATCATACGTTTAGAACTGATTGTGTTTGTTGTCCTTCCCCCGCACCTACGATTAGCGTGGTTAGCTACGTAGGGTGTGAAAGAAGATGAACATACATACAACTGTTATTTGTCTTACGCGAGCCAGGCGTGTATGTGAGATGTAAAGGTGCGGGATCAGATTCAAGCCCCCAGAGCACAGTGAGACTTGCAACAGAGAAGGGTGAAATCTGTATGTTGAGCTTTATCAGGAGTTTAGAAATTAATTAATAAATCGACCTGTTTATGGCAGCAAATATTTCACCTGTTGCTTGCACATCAACAGGATGTCGTATTTCATAGATCACGCAGACTGTGGTACATCAAGTGGCATATTGCGGCATACGTGCCAACAGTCACATCATAGCTTTACCTTTCTTGCCCAAATGGCCGGAAGACAAATTATGAAATGGCGTGCCTTTTTTTGGCACGCTGTTGCTGAAATCTCTATACAGCGATACCTTGACTTTCGTCCGCTTGACTTTTGTCGCTTCGCTCTTTCGGCCGTTTTAAATTATCACATTTCAAATTTCGTCCACGCACTTTCCTCTTTCGTCCGATTTCATCCCTAAACTTGCCCAAAGTTCGCGCCATGCGCCATCTTTTTCGTTCAGTCTTTGAATAGAAGTTGTTCAGTGAGCATCTCTTATATTTGTGTTTATTCATACATTATTAATACTGTACATATTTCTGTGATGATACTGTAAACAATTCATTGTTACATTTCGATTTAAAGCTTTCGTGACTGCAAGGATTCCTCTTATTTTGGTTATTTCGGTAATGTTAACGTAGAATGAGAATAAAATAATAAAATAAAATAAAATTCTCACGACGTTTCGGCCACAACACAAGTGGCCTACTGTCGTTCGACAGGTATGTTCCTTTCACCTGAAGGTCACTTGTGTTGTGGCCGAAACGTCGTGAGAATTTTATTGTTTTATCTTATTATTTTATTCTCATTCTACGTGACTTTACCGAAAGAACCAAAGAATAATTCATAGTTATTTTTGTGATAACAGTATTATTATAGTGTTTTAACATTCGTCCATTTTTGACATGCGTCCATGCTCTGGTCCCTAACCAGACGAAAGTGCAAGATATTCCTGTATTCATGAACATATCTTATTGTGATTTTACATTCATTGTACTATTTAACTCATATGTTATTGGCGTTTACATTCCAGAGATGTAATCTTTAGTTTATCCCGAGATACGTGCCCACATAGACAACATGAGTCCCAGAACTTGACTCAGTTGTAAATCAAAATCCATTTTATAATTATTCGGTGATGCTGATACTGCGTTGGCAGTGGTGCAGAAGCAGAATTAACAACAACAAAAAAACTCGACAGTCATCAATAATGCTGTAGTCTTAAAATAAAATATATAATTGGAGACGTTTAGGCAATGGCCCTTCTTCATAGCACAACTGCTATTATTATAGGACCTTTATATCTTAGGGCAGTGTTATTATATATTATTGGAGGGCTTGTACAATTTGTAGTGCGAAGAAGTGGCACAGTGATTTGTGAATCTGGACACCAGGGTTCGGTTCCCGGCCACAGATCGCTGCAGAATATTTCAACCGGCATTGCCGCCTTCATCAGCCAGCGCTGACCAGCGTGAAGTATGTTCAACATTCAAAGCAAATTTATTTGCTCTACTGCAACCTCATAGCCACCTCGCAGGCCAATAGACTTGTGGAATTCTCTACGCGATCCATCAGTCCTTGCCTCCAAAGCACCGGATCACGGACGTAGGCCACCGTGCCAGTCCCTTAATTGGGCAGACCCTTATTTTTTCTACCTACGTGACTTTACCGAAACAACTAGTTTTCAAAATAGCATTCCGCTGAGACTCATTCAACCCTAGGCGTGTTCACTTCGAGCCAACTTTAACTATTGACTTACGAGGCAGTGTAATGCACTAAACAAACGTAAACCACGATTGTGCTTCCATTAATAATGTTTCCCCCCCCTCTCCGTTTCGTTAAGCCTTGAAACAGAAGACGAGAACCACGCACACACTTGTGGGCCACCTGCGTTGCCACTGGCACTCGACCTTTGTGCATGAGGCAGCAAACAACACAAAAAACCCCAGTACAGTGACCAACGCTCATTGTTGCCAAGTCTGCCTTTGGGAGACTACACGTACAGAGTCCCCCACATGTACACTGTGGGGCCAAGGATGATTGCATTGTGGTCCTAGCGTCTTTGGTCACCATCAATGAGAAAATAATCCCGACTGACAGGCAGTAGCGAGACGTGTTTGTGTTCGCCGACGCTCCCGCCAAGTATGAATTAAGGCTGTTAACCGATAACCGATTTAAGAAGCTTGCCCCATTGTTTTTAGCTGCCGAGACAAACTCGAATCGGCAATCCCGAGGTTGCGAGTCCACTGTGCGAACCATTCCGCCAGTGGCAGCTCCCTGCAATGCTCAATTGTAATGGTGTAATATTTATTAAAGTCTGTATTTTGTTATTACAGTTTGACTTGTAGAATTTATACCAACAATCCCCAATACACTATTAACACCTCATATGACATTTCCATAATTTATGATCAAAGTTTTTAGCTCCATCCTTTCTCATTTCAAATGTGTATTTGTAAAAATGTTCAGGTCTGTGATTATACACACTAACTGCCGACTGTGCTTACAGGGTCCGGTCGTTTAAAGGTAGTGCTGTCACCAACAACATCTGATAAACCGATGTACGTTTCGCAAGCTGAACTACTGTTCGGAGTTAATTTATACGTTGTACAAATGCCGTTGATTAATATGAAAAGAGGCTCAATGAGACTCGAACGTAGTTACACCAAAAGGACACGTTTAATCAGTCAGTAAAAACACAAAACCGTCAACATGTACAGAACGCTTGGCATATTTAACCCACAGGCCTGCATTCATTGTACCATTCACGAGCACTCTCGATGACAAAACACACTATTAAACCAAGAGTATGCGCTTATAAAACATGATTTAATTGGGTTATTCAATGCGAAGGGAGACGACAATGATGACAGATCTGACTTCCCATATCTCCCAGCCGTGGATTAATACCGTATTTCTGAAAATCACTACGTGGCAATATAGCCAAATATTTTTTTTGTAAGGAAGTTGCCGTAAACATTTAATTGCCAGTGCGATTCACCACCACCATTGACTCTGCGTCATGTTGTGTTGTGCCAACTGTGGTCAGCAAAAGGTCCACTCTTCACGAATATTGCTTTACCATTAACATACATATGCAAGTACAAAAGTGGAGCTGCCCTGACATAAACGAAAGTTTTGATTTAAAGCTTTCGTGACTGCAGGGATTCATATTCTTGGTTCTTTCGTAAAGTCACGTAGAAGCCCAATGAGCTGTGAGCTCTTTTTCAAAGCTAACCTGGCCACACGTGATAGCTCATCGAACTGGCTTTTATCATCATCACATGTGGGAATTTATTGTAGCAGACAAATAATCTAAACAAATGTTTACGTGGAGGGAAAAATCAGAGGATGTGGACAAAAATCTACGTATCCACCACAGAGAGAGAATTTGTGAACTCCAATATTGACAGGGTCTGAGATCGAACCCACGTGCTTCTGCATACCAGGCGAGGGAGATAACTCACCCACGGTGGCGTCACGGTTACTGACTTGGGGCTAATGGTAAAATTATTATTAGCAGTCGTAGTCATGACATTTACATGCTTGTGTCTGGTACATGTTGTGCTTCTGCTTAACACGCCGGGCGCAATTTTGCTGTCTCAGAGCCACTACAACCGGTGCTGCTGTGTGGCGGAAATTCCCATGATTGTCTCTTTTGTAGAATCGTGATTCTGTAAAAAAAAAACTACGTGTGCAAACCGTTTGAACTTCTGCATGTCATAACCAGAGCTGAGGAGCTTATTTATGTCTGATATAATCATTATAACCTGTATATAATGTGTAGACGAAAAATATGAGCATACAGATATATTTAATGTTTAAGTTTACCGACCCACTATATAAGCATCTCTCTTCAAGAGAAAAAAAACCCATCTCGTGATATAACCTTTTGGGACAAGTGGTTAGTGAGCACCTATTAAAGTTGGCATGGCATACGTGGGGGGGTGAGCAGGTGTGGGGCAGTCCAGACAATATCTCCGATTGGCTGGGAGAGCAACAGCATAGTTGGTAGCAATCTGCAACTGGAATGCTGACCATTTGGGTTCAACTCCCGGCCACAGACAGTGGGTAGGCAATTGTTATTCGCACACCACCTGGGCCTCCCTAGATTAACTCAGCCTAAAACCAGCATACCTCATGAGAAAATGAATATCTCACAACACCGCAACAGGGGGATGCACTGCATGTAAATGATTTGTCTTGTGACCTGGTGAATTGTTCCACAATTTACAAAAACCTGGACATTTAAAGTCCTGAAAAGACTCGTCGGTTTCCCAGGACAGCAGCAGCTACCCCAAAAAGACCCCCATATCATAATGGCAGGGTCCTTGCCTGTAAAATCGGTAGTTCACCAGTATTGATTCAAATAAGCAAGCGTGAACACTGCTGATCAGACACTGTATATCGCAACCGGTCCACATTTTCCTTGCCTTTAACCGATACCGCCAAAATAAGGCATTCCAACAAATCCGTGCTGCTTGTCCTGGTTTATGGGAAAAAAAAACGTTTTTTTATGTTGAGATAGTTACGTGAGGGATACTAAATCGGTTTGCTTATTTAGTTTCTTACCTCAAAAAGAGGATGCGCCTGGGAATATCAGGACACAGTGTTAAGCCTAGGGCCCCACCATTACTCGCTACTTGACTTGCTATGCCAGACTTAGCAGGTGCTGGTGCTCGCGTGCACCTATATGAAACTATATGGGGCACCGCTGATCCACGGGAGACACTTTAATTTTATCAAGAGACCGATGACCAAAGCGGTTGCCGCTGCGCCAGCCAGGGCTGCAGGCACCGCGTACGCTGCCACTGGCACGCTGCTTGAAGAACCTGCAATAGCAGCAGCGCAGGGGATATCGTGAGTTAAATGTTTCCAGGGAGACACATGCATAATGTACAGTGCAGGTAACGACGAAATTAGAGAGGTGGTGAAACGTACAGGTGTGTGTGTATGTGTTGGACAGGCTGGCACGAGAATATTGACAATACAATAAAGTTGGCACCCACAACAACAGAAATTCTACTCAACCGAGTGCACAATTGATCATGTGGGCGGTTGGCTGAAGCGCAGTAAATGGAGAGTCTACTCTATTGTGTGTTACGTCGTAAGGTAAAGGTGCAACCCTGCAATGTCTTGCTCATAGCACTGCTTGCGAGAGGGCCTTCACTTGGAGCTTTCGAAAGAGCCCCTCTATAATACATAGGTGTGTTGGCCCGCTGTTCTACGCCAGCCAGACTTTGTGGAAGAGCTGGCAATTAACCCACATTTTACCCACCACCACATGCGACTGATTTTACTCCTGGTACAGTGCATGCACAGTACAGTATATATCTTTCTCTATTGGCTTTCTCAAAGACAATGGCGATCAAGGCCTTCCCTCCATTCAGCTTTGTCAGTGATAATACTCAAGAACGTCTTATTCTATTGTATTCTATGAACAAATGACAACGGTGATAATCTATGGGCAATGTAAGTAGATGGGGAATTTACATTATGAGACCTCCTTTGCCAGTAACAAGATATAGTAATAGGTTTTTACCCTTTTAGCTGGCACAAAAACTGACACCATTATACAAGGGATCATGTTTGCAATAACCACAACACAAGCAGTCAAAAATGCAAACAAAAAGAAACAACTCTGACAATGATATGCACTGTCCTTGAATTTGATTGGTCCACACCTGAGACGGCTTACTATATCTTGTTACTGGCAAAGGAGGTCTCATAATGTAAAGGCTTACCCCGAGCACTCAATACTCTGATAGTGTGCTCTTTTTGAGTTGTACGCCTTATGGTGTCATCTGGTCCAACACCAGTGGAGACTAGGCTCTAAGAAAAGCCGTCTCAGGTGTGCACCAATCAAATTCAAGGACAGTGCATATCATTATCAGAGTTGTTTCTTTGTGTTTGCATTTTTGACTGCTTGTGTTGTGGTTATTGTATAAAGGTGTCAGTTTTTGTGCCAGCTAGAATGGTAAAAACCTATTACTATAGATGGGGAATGTTCGTCTCTGGGCAATATCGGTCTATCTCTCTCTATTTGAGCTGTGTCTTTTCTCAAAGACGTTGGTGACAATGACCTTCCATGCATTCAGCTCTGTCCATGATATTTACTCAATAACTTTGCATTAGAGTCTCCCAGTTATATCCAATTGTTCAGATTGTGTCTGTAACTTAATTCGGTCTTCTTTGTTTTTTTGTGACACCGCTAACTTTCCTAGTCAAAAGTACATTCATATTCAGTCTAATGTGTTCTCATTACGTGTGGATATTTAATTCAAATACAGGGTGGCCTAAAAGTCAGGACATATAGGATAATTTCCTGTATTTTATCAAATCATATATGGTTATTTAATTATTATTAACAAAAGTTCAAACTGACTTCCACTAACATTAATGCATGTATGAATTATCTTTTGAAAATAATTTAGGAATAAAATGAAAAAAATCAGGTATAATTTACGAACATTCATGAATTACGTTTAGTCTCAATTCATTCAGAGTTCTTGGTCGAGTTTTGTAAATGACGGATTTAAGGCAACTCCACATGAATAATAAAAATACAAGTTCTAGATTTAAAGCTTTCGTGACTGCAAGGATCCATACTCTTTGGTTCTATTCGGTAAAGTCACGTAGGTAAAAAATTAAAACAACAAAAATCACGACATTTCGGCCACAACACAAGCGGCCTTCATCAGGTGGCAGGACAGCGCACTCCAGCGCTGTCCTCGAGACAGTCTGGTCCCTTCACCTGATGAAGGCCACTTGTGTTGTGGCCAAAATGTCGTGATTTTTGTTGTTTTATTTTTTACCTACATGACTTTACCGAATAGAACCAAAGAGTAAAAATACAAGTTGATAATGATAGTAGATAAAATATTAGCTTAATGCCAGTGTTAAAATAAATTCAATAACCCGATGTGTCCTGACTTTTGGGCGACCCTGTATATGTGAAAATTGACCAAGTGTGTGCACTCACCGGTGCTCCTTTTGCGAACCGATATCGGTCCTTGGGAGAGGTCCACGTTGTGCTCAAGGTGTGTGCCGCTGGCCCGGACGTCCCGCACCGACCGCTTGGAACGCACACACCCTCGCCGGCACCGTGAGTTCACGTCCGACTTGTCGCACACACGCACGTTGCACTCCAGGTACACCTGCTATCAATTCAACATCGCCGCCACCACCGCCGCCACAGTCGTCGTTATATTCGGCAGATGTTCGGATCTTTTTGAGCTTATCTTTATATTTGTAGAGCGTGTGTCTAAGCTCAAGGCGTGCGCTCTATAACAGAGTTTAAAAGTGGTAACAACAATGGAGTGATTTAGATGGTAAAGGGCATGCAAGAGCCAAGGAATGAGTGACCGTAACAGAGGGCACGTGGAAGGGTCACGAAAGGGCTATAGGGGAGGGACAGGAAGGAGTGGATTGGTGAGTGGAGGGAAGAGGAAGGGAATGGGAAATGGAGAAGTGAGGCTTCAAGAGAGGATTGAAAGGCGGTTAGGAAGGGGGACTGCTTAATGTACAGGGAAAGCTGATTCCAGAGGTGCAAGGAGGGAGACAGATTGAAAAGATCAAACTGAAAGTGGATGTATCTTCTTTGGTTCTTTCGGTAAAGTCACATAGAATAAGAATAAAATAATAAATTGATAAAATAAAATAACACAATAAAATTCTCACGACGTTTCGGCCACAACACAAGCGGCCTTCATCAGGTGAAGGGACGAGACTGTCTGGAGGACAGCGCTGTCCTCCAGACAGTCTCGTCGACAGCGCTGTCCTCCAGTCTCGTCCCTTCACCTGATGAAGGCCGCTTGTGTTGTGGCCGAAACGTCGTGAGAATTTTATTGTGTTATTTTATTTTATCAATTTATTATTTTATTCTTATTCTACGTAACTTTACCGAAAGAACCAAAGAAGATGAATCCTTGCAGTCACGAAAGCTTTAAATCGAAAAATGAAAGTGGATGCTGGCGTAAAATAAGTATAATTTTGTCGTAATAATCATCAGCAGCCATGGGAAATCAACTGCTGCATGAAGGTCTTCCCCCAGGTCGCCACCCAATGCCTGCATGTCAGCCGACGTCACAGCTCCTCCATCTTCGTGGTGGAAGGCCTCTCTGACGCGTTCCATCCCGTTGGATGCCACTGCATCACTACTCTTGACCATCAAACTGTCACGGTTATGTTATTTTTAGCCCAATTATGTTTTCAAAAGTTGATTTGCAAGTTGCATTAAACTACTGTGTTGGGAATGAGATATATATGTACACAAAGAACTTGCTTAACACGTGTTCACACAATGCGTTTTCACTATTACGCCATTCTTCTATCAGGGAATACTTTTTGCACAACGCGGAACATGCCTTTTATAACGCGGAACGCACGCCGTTATAATGCAGCTTTTGAATTGTCGACGACAAACTACTTTCTTCAGCCACACGGTAGAGCGGTATGGGAATTCTGGGTATTCTATGGTACGCAGTGTACCTCATCTCAGTTCTTTGTCCAACCATAAGATGAATACAGGCTCATTTTATAATGCAATTGAGATTAACATTTTCTTATTCCTGCTCTGTAGTGTATATACGGTAATTCCTAGCATTTTTACTCTTCAGAAACGCATTAACTGCATTAAACGAGGAATTGTGGTATACATATTGCATCGATGTGTAACCCAGGGCTGTAGAAATGTAAAAGGTGTTTGCCCGTTGCCCTAGGCATTGCGTCAAGCAATTTGCGAGGGAAGTGTGCACCTGTGAACTGCTGTTTAGCTCGACGCTCTGGAAGCTGAAGCGCTGCCTCTTGTCGTCCCCACTGGTGTAGGTCACGTAGGACGTGTCCACTTGACAACTGCAATCATTAGGCACGTGCCGTCAAACACTGTCAATACTCTATGGACTATGGACACTCGGCACCTGTAGTTAAGATTCAATAACACATAGAGGTGTGCTGCTCACACCCAGCAGGGAAGGCACAATCCCCATCATGCCTTGCATGCAAGTTCACACGACCACCACATTGCATGTGCAATGCTTGCTTCTCAGCCTTGTCTCAGCCACGAGCTTGGAAGAGCTGAATGTGTGGTGGCCATGTAAATTGTTTAAAAACCACCAAATCAACACTTGGGTTGGATTAGAAAAAATATTGACTGGTTTCATTCTCAGTAGGACTCATCAAAAGAGTATGGTCATAAATGTTGACAGCAATCTCATGCCTCTGGGAGTCCCATATATGGAGAGGGCTTACCTCCTTTACACTATGGAGACCCCATGAGCACTTGCCTAACGGCAACACTCATTTAAATCTAACACTTTCACTAAATAATGCGAGAACGCACCATAATAGGAACATGGCACTTGCAGTGCTGGTAATTTAAGGACAGTGATTAAAAGCCGGAGACGCCAGCTGCAGTTCTCATGTTCCAGCCTGGTTCAAGTGAACATAATACGCATTTCAAAATGAACTTAAGATGATATGTCAATGTGGAAAGTCACAGAATGGCAAGGCACAAAGGAGTTTCAGAATGAATTTGATCAACGATTTCTGCTGTATGATCCATACACAAGTTATTCAATCATATACGTACACGGAACAATCATCAACAGCCTACTGGCAGACTAACGGTCCCGTCTGCAGGCCAGGTGCTAAGTCGCCTTGTGCCACACAGGGACAGTTTCTGCCACTGGGGGTGCTCTTTCAAATGGGTTGAGATGATGGGATGACATCAAGCACTCTGAGACGCCCCGACATATGGGAGGGTGGCTCTATCAAAACAAATACAATACCCCGATTTACATCTCCCCCTTTAACTTTGTTTCGCAAATACATCATCACTTTATTAACATCACTACCTCATTTGCGTCGCCTCAACCCACACTCACGTCGCTGACAGCATCATCCGGCCTTTCTCATATCCCATCGGCTCTCAGCCTTCGCCTCCACCTACCCTGGAAATTGCTTTGATTCACGTCTAATCAATATTCGTTGAACACATACGCCGACGTAAACCGAGGTATTACTGTAATTCTCGCTATTATTATCGTTATTATCACAAGCATGGCCCATCCACGTACCCGCTTTGTACGATGATGTAAGATGCATTGTCAGGGGCTCCTGTGTAGGGGGATGCCTTGCATTTCTCCAGTAGCAGCTGCAGGTTGTTATCGAAGGAGTTGAGCAGGACCTAGTGAACAAATTGTGTGACACTAATGAAGAATGCTTGGATGGAAAAGGGGACACATGATGGCTTACACCTTTATTCTTAACAGGCACAACAATGCACAGCTGCAAGATAATTACAGACAGCTGTCGACAACTGCAAGTTGATAAAACACAAAACTGTTGATAGAAAGATAAAAAAACTACGACCAAATCCCCGCGGAGTAACGTGTATTATCCCATCACTTCTGTAAGCATGCAGATGACATGGCCAATCACGACCCAACTACTGTCGTGATGTTCGATTAGTCAAATGATCAAACCCATAATCTGTTGTCAATCACTTACATAGTCCAGCTCTCATCCAATTAGACAAACCGAAAGCTGCACTGATAGAGGCATACCTATACCGATAGGTTTTGTGATCTGTTTAAAGCAAGACAGTATCAGAATCTTTATTTAGACTGTAGGAATCCGATGAGCTATTAAGCTCTTTTTCCCACATGTCCAGTATGGGCGGGCCAGCCAGTTACAAGCAAACAAAACGATACGCATGACAGGAGTGCAAAATAGAGGAAACGGTAAGCAAATCACTAATTATAAATATGTAACTTGATTCATGATATAAGTACAATTTATCAATATTGGGAAAGGCAGCAAAAACAACAACAAAGCAGTCCCAGACCACACCAAGACAACAGACAGTAGTCCCTTGCGCTGGTGCCTCAATGCAATCAAAAAGCAGTGCCCTTGCGATGTTTCGTCACCTTAATGAATAACGTTCACGAGTTGTGCATGAAGTTGCTGCAGATAATTTAAAATAAACGAGACGAGTGAAGATGAATGGTTTCACGGGATGGGTCAATGCCACTCATTGCATAGAAAACAAGAAGGCCTGTACTTGAGCAAGAGAGCAAGCATGAGGAGGAGGAAGTGAGGACCTGCATTGGTCCGGAATGGCATAAAATGTATTTCTTTTGTGAAGGCAGAGATTGTTTTGTTTCACATGACAGGAATGTGTCCAGCTCGTCTGGTTTAAATCACTTCGAATTGTCAATGTGTCACTGCTTGTTTTTTATACTTCTGCATTCATGACAGCAATATGGATGTTGGGCCTTGGACAAACACCACCTGGAATGTGCCCAAACTGGTCAGACCTCAGAAGCTAAGCAGGTTTAGCCTGGATAGTGCTCTCACGGGTGACCACCACGAGCAAGCAAGGTTGTCGTAAGGCTGTGGATCCACATGGTGGGCGATTAGAGGTCAATGCAGCTAAACCATTGTTTTGCTGTACTTCTCATGCTTCCGCGTCTCGCTCGCCACTTTCACTGACCTCAATCGACTAGAGTGGTGAAGCATGGCTACATGATCACCCCCCATCCCCCCATGCCCCGAAACACGGTGGAAAGATGCTCATTCAGCAGTGCGATGGACAAAAAAGTCAACGTATATGTTCATTGAAGATGGGCTTTTGAAAAACAAGGACACTTAGGGACTGCAGTGTGAACACTCACGACATCCATATTTCAGTCCGGTTCTATTCTATTCCTGCATAATTCATGATGATGGCAGCAGCTATGTGGTACAGGAGCTGAATGTCAATGTCGAGGTCTGCTCCTAGCCATTACCAGGGCGCCATGGTGGCGAGATGTTAACTACCTTGCCTGGTATACAGGAGGTTGTGGGTTTAATCCTGACCCTGATGTCTGTATATTTGGAGTTTGCATGTTCTCCCCGTGGTCACATATATTTTTTCTCCGGGTCCTCTATTTTTCCCTCCAAATGTATAATCATGCATTTAGAGTATTTGGCTGCTATACATTTCCAGATAAGCCACTTTGGTGAGCTTTCATTTATGGCCAGGTCGCTTCTGAAAAAATATATATAGCTCAGTGGGCCTTACCTGGTAAAATAAAAATTGTTTAGTTTATAGAGAAGGCTTCAGGAGACAAGAGTTTGTGTAGTTTTGCTATTCCTCCTCGCATATTACAATGAGTTTGTTTAGTATATGGTCCTTAGTTTGGGTTGCGTGGCCACAGTCGCACTACCATTCATGACAGAGATGTATGCATCGGCCTCACCAGAAAGGCTCACTCTGTTCACTATCTCGCCGCTGCTCATGCCATTCCCTCTCTCACCTCGACGTAGATGGGGGACCCGAGGTCCACCTCAAATGGATAGGCGTTGACGGCCTGGCTGAAAGCCTGGTCGGTGTAAAGCACCATGCTGAGGTTGAAGGAGCCAGAGCTGTACTTATCCACCACCCTGCAGCAAGAGCGGTAAAGGTGACGTCATCACGTATGACACAGGGCACACATGACATATCTTTCTACCACAGAGTGTTAGCGCAGATTCGTTTTAAGTAACTGTGGTATGTCAGACGCCACGAATTTTAACAGTACGGTAAGTCCTCGCTTAACACGCATTCACACAACACATTTTCACTCTATGATGGAACACTTTTATTCCATGAGGGGACACTTTTCACACAACGTGGAATGCGCTCATTATAACGCGGTTTCTGAGCGGCCAACGATGAATTACTTTCTTGAGCTGCACGTCTGCGCAATGCAGTGGTACAGTACACGGAATGATACAGTAATGCAGCTGCGTAACCTCAGTTTCTTGTCCCGCCATCTTACTGTGTGTGTGTAGTAAATTGTATCTCGACAAACTTTATCATTACATTATTTATGATGACAATTTTTCACTAAATGCGGCACTTTTCCAGAACGCTTGAATCTGTGTATTTATCAGTGGGATTGAGTGATGATGACCGTAAAAAATGAGAATTGGTCACATTAAATATTCAGAATGTATTTGTACATCGCATTATTCGTTTCAACCCAATCTTGGGGCACGTTGCGGGATGATGAAAAATTACAAAGTAACATTGTGGACAGAAACTAGAACAGAAACATTGAAATCAAAGACAATCTTCATACTACACCAACAACAAAATATAATTATCCTTGGAAAATTCAGTGGAAAAAGTAGGAACGCTGGAATACCAAATTCCAAATAGGTGGCTGTAGTAACAAAAGTCAGGAACAACTGAACTCAGCCAAAGAACTTCTTCCTATGACAGCGTCACAATCTAATGTAATTTATATTCTTCGAGTGCCTTCATCTAAGGCGCATGACATAGATTACAGAATGAAAATGGAATGATGGAGTTGGGAGGGGTGTACAAGGTATGGGGAATGAGTGACAACAAGAGAGGGTATTTAGGGATCATGAAAGGGTAGAGGAGGGACAGGAAGGAGTGGAGGGTCAAGGGAAGGGAAGAGAATGGGCAATAGAAAAGAGGTGAGGGTTTAAGAGAGGAACAGAAGGAGGTTAAGGAGGGGGACTGCTCAATGTACAGAGAAAGTTTATTCCAGTTGGAGGGGTGCAAGGAGGTAGAAGGACCGAAAATGGCATTGGGCAATGGAAGGAGAGATAGAGAGAGAGAAAAAGAGAGAATATTGGAAAGAAAGACGACGAGAGGGGACACGGTAGGTAATGAGAGAGGCAAAATAAGGTGCTGGGGGTGTGGCTGCACGTTACCTGGGAGCAAAGCTCGCGATGACCTTCCCTTCGGAGCCGATGTAGCAGTGCATGGGAATGCGCAGTTTCTTAGCCCTGGTCCCCATCACGTAGCCATACGCAGAGTTAGTGTACACAATGGTGTCGCCGTGTGCCTGAGAGGGAAGGCATGGTAAACGTGGGGGGCGGTGGCACAGTGGTTAGCTCTGTGAGCCGAGTTCGATTCCCGCTCATGGCCAACATCGGTAACGGAGATCTGAACCTGTCCTGGGCCTCCCCTAAGTCGAATCAGCCTCAAATGAGTACCTGGTGCGAGGTGTAAACATCGCCGTTAGGGAACAAAGGCTGCCGGGAGTGGTGCTGGCCACCCAACCCCCTCGTGTACCGTGCCGGCCTTCGTAGGTTCTCACTAACAGCAAGTGGAGCTCTGAGTTGCATATGATGGCTGCAGGTAGCAAGGCCGGAACTAGAGGTGGTGCAGGAGTGGCACTGCACCACCATTATTTCCCTTTGGCTCTGTACACACAAGTTCACTCTCCCAATAGTGAATCACTGTTATGGTCACCTACACGACAGCTAAACTGCCTGCTCCCCATCCGAGAGGACCTGGAGCCAGGCCGGCTAGATAGTTAGGTCATGCAATCTCAGGTGTTAGGTGTGGGTAGTGCACTGCAGTGTCAAATGGAAACCAGAATCTAAAATTGGTAAGTGGAGTTAGCTGCTAATTTCCATGAAATGAAACCGAACCTATATTCCATTTTCTGCTCTGTAACAAAAAATAATTCAGTTACCAGTGAAATTGGCAATGATCACTCAGCCAAATTGATTGTTATAACACGAGAGACTCAACAACGAATGTGGTTTTCCAATTAAACATGATTTACATCATACAACCACATTAAATGTTTACCTCAGCATTGCCATGTTGGCTCGTGACCTCATGAAACCAATTTCAGTGATGTTGCATGTGCAACCAAAACAATAATTTTTATGTCATTGTATTTGCCCACTCTTTCAATCCATGATAAAGGAATGATGTGAGCAGGGCTGTCCATAGTGGAGTGCAGGGCCCGAGGCAAATCCAATGTTGTATGGGTCCCCCAACGCCTTCAAACTAAACCCGAAGTATTAAATCTGACGTGACGTCGAAGCACAGTCACCCCGATTCACCATGCCATAGGTACAGCTTTGGCTGTGGGAGTTCTAGTGGGGTTCCAGATCACAGATGTTTCATGTGAACTTTCTCGTCGGATCCCATGTGTGGGTAGGCTCTTTGAGTGGTTGGAGGCGGGGAACCTTGGTACCAGTTGAATACCTCGGATGTGGTGCCACAGGCCTTCAGGTTACTGCGCAGAATCAGATAATCCCCCGATGAGGAGCCGTGGCACGAAGGGTCCTCCAGATGAATGTTGGCCGGGTCGAGGTGGAGGTTTTCCAGTACACTCAATGAGATCTGCAGTTCAACGTAACTTGAAGTGCAGTTTAGGTGGGGCGATACTGAAACAGAAATGTCATTAAATGCTTAACGTTTTCTACATGAAGGCACACATCCAACAGGTGATTTCTAGTTAAAATGAGCACCGAGGTAATGATCAAATCCCGTTTAAAAGCCCCTGAGTCAGTGGTAAAAAAAAATCGAAATTGCCATGGTGGAGGTTTCTATAAAGAACAACCATTGTTGACTTCCTTACAAAGTGGTAGCTATTTTATCAACCACTGAGCCACCAGTCCTGTTATATAGACCATATACATGGAGTATGCCTGTGAGAGATGCAAAACGCCCCATCTACTTCCACCCATCACTCTTGCCCACCTAGACCACCAACCATTAACTCATTCTCATTCCCATAATGAAAACAATATTAGCAACTCCAGATTTGTAAAAGTTTGCATGTTCAAACCATCCCTTCTCACACAGCAAGCAGTGAACTGCGTGTCTGGTCTAGATTGACCCTCTTATCCTGATTTCCTACCCAGACCCTCAGATCTTATGAAAGCTGAGCAGGAAACCTATACAAAAGTTGGAGAGTTTGTGGCGGAACGGCACTCCTGACTTGCTCTAGCAGTTAACACACTCAGTCCCTTCTCACCGATGTGTTCACAGTGGTCGCCCACCCAGCCGGGCTTGCAGTGGCACTTGAAGCTCCCGGCGTCCACCCCATCAGTGCTGCAGTCACCCCCATGGATACAAGGGTTCGGCTGGCAGGGCCCTGCCACACAGATGTAATAGGTAAAGGGGGTTCTCGCTAGTCTATGCTGCGAAAGGCAGCCCACACGAGGAGATCTTTGGACTTTATTGAAGCTCCTCACACTAAGACTCATAAGCACCGGTAGGAACCTCTTCAGGAGCCCTGGGCACGTTTTACACACCCCTTATATACCCTCTGCCCCCAAATGTTTCCAGAACATTCCTGTTACTCTTTTTTTCCCCACCAAATCTCCCTCCTCCAGTCCTCAGCCAATCCCCTGTCCTCTTCTTCCCAGCTTCATTCCCTTTATTAATTGAAATATTTTGGGGGTGTATCCCCGTGTCTTCACCTAACCCCAATGTCCCTTAAACGACCCTTACAAGCGTGTATACAATATTTGTTTGCTTTGTTATTTTAACCACTGTTGGCTGAGCACAGGCCCAATGGCCAAACATATCAAGCGGCCAGCAACAAACAGTACAATCAAAGTTGTAACAGCATTCAACTATGGACCGTGTAGAAAACCACTGTAGGAGGAACAGCAAAACTACACGGCCTTTGCTGATGCCCTCTCATCATGGCCAGACGTCGACATTGGCATTTAGCTCATGAACCATACTGCTGCAATGCACAAACATATAATTATTGTTGTTATTTAAACATGCGTTGTGCTACGGACATGGCACCCTGCATATGTAAGACACGTTAGAGATGCAGGGCTTACCGGGCGCGGCAGATGTGGTCTGCACTGTACAGTCGCGTTTTTCGGTCCGTGAGAGCACATGGAACGGAAATACATGAGCACGTGGCCATCATTAAGACGTGCTGTTGCACCATAATTTCTGGCGACTACCTGATGATGCTGGTTGTCACTATCAACGAAACGTCTACACCCAACAACGCGCGTGGTGCTGCTGAAGAAGTAATAACATTAGCCACGTTTGTTTGTCACGTGATAACTTTATTCATTGGCTGTGTCGGGTGGAGGAGGGTGCACGACATATTTTACCGAATGCGATCTGACCCAAACAACTATTACGAATCGCAATATCGGTCGCAAAAGCATGCACCGTGTTAAATCTGTTGCAACACGTAAAATTATTCAGTGTAGGCGCGCCATCTCCATGCGCATCTTGAACAGAGGCTCATTTACAACCCACAAACACGTCAAGTCTCATAAAATAACCCTGTCTGTAACAACGTTGAGCGTCCGCTGTGGAGTGTATTTTATATATGTATTTACAAAACTCGTACAATCTGCATTACCCAATGTAGCGTGCACATGCACACAGCTGGATTAATCGAGTCCCGGGTATTATTTGACCACTTAACCTGTCAGTGCGGGGTTTGGTCAAGTCGGGGAGCATACATATTGGAAGCATATATGTACAATCTTGATTTGAAGATATATGTACAGTACAACAATGCATTTCCATACACTGCCCTCTAATGCAGTGGTTCTTAACCTGGGTTCGATCGAACCCCAGGGGTTCGGTGAGTCGATCTCAGGGGTTCCGCAGAGCCCCCGCCACGGAGGTCCGGACACACTTGAATTATTGTGTAAATTTGTGATGACACACACGGCCCGCTTGGCCATCACTGGCTGCAGATGATCATGCTACACTGCTTGGCCAATCAGCGCTGCGGGGAATTTAGTGCGTACTCAGTAGTCAACGTGTGACTGTTGTTGTCGTACGTCGTGTGATTTCTTTAATATTTTATCCATACTATGTCGGGCAAAAGAAGAAAGTGGTCGGACGAATATGTACAACATGGATTCTCATGTATCACGGAACGTGATGGGAGTGAGCGTCCTATCTGCATGATTTGCAACGCCAAGTTGAGCAACTCTAGTCTTGCACCGGCAAAACTAAAGGAACACTTCTTGAAGCTGCATGGAGACGGGGAATACAAGAACACAACACTTGCTGAATTCAGGGTGAAGAGAGCCAGATTCGATGAAAGGGCCACTCTGCCTGCTCTTGGATTTGTACCTGTTAACAAACCGATCCTGACAGCATCGTACGAAGTTGCTTACCTGATCGCAAAGCAGGGCAAGCCACACACCATTGGTGAAACACTTGTGAAACCAGCTGCATTAAAGATGGCGAATCTGATACTCGGAACAGCGGCCGAAGGTAAATTATCCCAAATTCCCCTTTCAAATGACACCGTCAGTGACAGAATAGAAGACATGAGTAAAGACATCTTGGCTCAAGTAGTCGCGGATCTGATTTCAAGCCCGGCAAAATTCAGCCTTCAACTCGACGAAACCACAGACGTTTCTGATCTAAGCCAGCTTGCTGTTTTTGTACGCTATGTGAAAGACGACATGATAAAAGAAGAGTTTTTATTTTGTAAGCCTCTTACAACAACAACGAAGGCAGCCGATGTGAAGAAGCTTGTGGATTACTTCTTCAGAGACAACAATCTTTCATGGGATATGGTTTCTGCAGTTTGTACGGACGGAGCTCCAGTCATGCTGGGAAGAAAGTCTGGTTTTGGTGCGCTAGTAAAGGCCGATGCACCACACATCATTGTGACGCATTGTATTCTGCACAGGCATGCGTTGGCAACAAAAACCTTACCTCCAAAAATGGCAGAAGTATTAAAAACTGTGGTGGAATGTGTGAACTATGTGCGAAAAAGTGCTCTGAGGCACCGCATCTTCAGTGAGCTGTGTAAAGAAATGGGCTCTGAATTTGAGGTACTTCTGCTCCATTCTAATATTCGGTGGTTATCCCGGGGACAGGTGCTGAATCGTGTTTTTGCCATGCGTGTGGAATTAGCCCTGTTTTTGCAAGAGCACCAACACTGCCATGCAGATTGCTTCAAAAATCCTGAGTTCATTCTCATTTTAGCGTACATGGCTGATATATTCGCAGCTCTCAATCATCTCAATCAGCAGATGCAGGGTGGTGGAGTCAATATCATGGAAGCGGAAGAACACCTGAAGGCTTTTCAAAAAAAGCTACCATTATGGAAACGACGAACAGAGAACAATAACTTCGCAAACTTCCCGCTTCTGGACGACTGTGCAAGTAAGATCGAAGATGTGTCTGGAATCGGAGATATTTCTGTATCCACGGAACTGAAGCAAACAATTGCCACGCACTTAGATGAGCTTGCAAAGTCTCTCGACGGATATTTCCCTACAAGAGAGTCATATCCAGCATGGGTGAGACAGCCGTTCACGTTTGCTGTTGAAACAGCAGATGTCAATGATGAATTCCTCGACGAAATCATTGAAATTCAGCAGAGCCAGGTTCAACAGCAACTCTTCAGAACAACAACGCTCTCAACGTTTTGGTGTCGACAAATGAACAAGTATCCAGTTATTGCTAAGAAAGCCCTGGATTTTTTTTATACCATTTGTTACAACATATCTTTGTGAGCAATCCTTTTCGAGGATGCTGGACATAAAAACGAAGAAAAGGAACAGACTTTGCTGTGAAAATGACATGAGAGTGGCACTTGCCAAGGTGAAGCCACGCATATCTGAACTGATCTCTCAAAGGCAACAGCAGAAGTCACATTGATTTCCAGGTATGTAATTTGTTGTGAGTTTATGCATTGTGTTGGTTTTATTCTTTGAACAAGGTAATGTTCATGCACGGCTCATTTTGTGTACCAGTAAAAAACATATCTATGTCTTGAATTTGAAAAAAAGACACATTTTATTTTTCACTAAAGAGGGGTTCGGTGAATGCGCATATGAAACTGGTGGGGTTCGGTACCTCCAACAAGGTTAAGAACCACTGCTCTAATGTCTACTACTGAAGTCCCCCGCAAGCACTTTGGCAACCTGTTTGCGCACATCTGTTCTTTCCCAGGTCATACGGGCGTCCTTTTTCCACAGCGCAGTGGTTAGCACACTGCGTGACGAACCACACAACCCGAGTTCCGTTCTCCACTCACGGCCATCATCAGCCTCCCCTAGGTCGACTCAGCCTTATATGAGTAACCAGTGCGGTGTGTATTAAGCATCAGCATTGGGGAGACAAAGGCGGCCGGGCGTGGGGTTTGACCACACCAACTTGATACGTGAGTATGCAGGTCATAGCCTTCTTCAGCTGAAGCCTCTAAGCTAAGCTAGCTAAGCTATTTTTTTATTTTACCAGATAAGGCCTACTGAGCGATACAGCTCTTTATTCAAAAGCGAACTGGCCACAAATGATAGCTCAACGAAGTGGCCTATCACGTGGAAATGTATAGCAGCCAAATACTCTGAACGCATGTTTTTAAAATGTGGAGGGAAAAACCGGAGGACCCGGAGAAAAATCCACGCGACCACGGGGAGAAAAGCACCGCAAGGTCCAAATATATAGTTTCAGGCATCGTCAGGGTCGGGATCGAACCCACGACCTCGTGTACACCAGGCGAGGGAGTTAACATCTCCTAGCCACCGCGTCTGCCTACCCCAATCGGATTCCTCACTTCGGTTAACAATTTGCGAGTGGTATAAACCGAGCCGTGTATTATATATGGCCATCATTGCGTGGGTAAAGGGGGTCTAAATATGCAGCAAATATTGATACATTTTTATAGTTGCTCCATTGTGTGTGGTCCAGTAAGCCTATACCTGACGTGCGTGCGGCACCCCTGTATTTTGCCAGCCGAGCGCATGTAGCCTGCATGCTCTGTGCGGCGAGTAACGCAATACGATGCATGCTACACGTCTATTCAATGACTATATAGTTCCTCCAATATGTATGAATAATTATACACAGAACAGTATATACATCGCACGTATAGTATAATGAAAAACGTCCAGATGTTACACAGCGCTGCAACGACCAGTAACAGCGAGAGCGCACGAAGGGTACCTCTCGGTGCTAGGTAGCCCGTGGACACGCGTGCAGTCTACGGGTGCTGTCATAGCGCCGGCTGAGTCCTTGTACCTGTGGTTGTTGCAATGGCAGGCACAGCGAAGCAGAGGACGATGAGGCAGTGAGTGGCGAGCCACGAGGGGGGCAGCATCATCCTCATTGGCAGGCAACGTGTGGTCGACTCTCTGATCTAACTTGCCCTTTCAACAACAGACGACGCGCATCATCGTCGCCACCACCTTGATTCGTAAATCTCGGGGGTGTGCGAAGCGATTATTGAGCTCGCTCGCTCGCACCACGTGACGTGGCAAATTCAATAACTCAAGAAACACGAGGTGTGGACAGGACGGTGACGCCTCTGTGTTGTGTTTCCTCCCCTCGTCCCCCGAATTTGAATGGAATCTGTGACACGCTGATGCTGCTGTACACAGACAGAACAGCGCCTGGGCAGGGTGTGACCACGTACTACCTTTTGTGAGGTCGGCGTGGCTGTGTGATTGACTAACAGCGGTTAGCAAAACATAAATAGCCTAGCGACCGGCCGCAGCCCGTGCCAATAGCCACGCGGCACCTTTTGTTCGTTTGAGCTAAATCGCGCCGGTTACTTGTAACAACGTAGCACCTTTTGCTTCAGTGTCCTTTAAGTAATTTCACTGGAGGGCATTTCACTTGCTTAACTCCGTGTTGCAATTTGATGCCATCTAGAACGTCTTCTACGAGTTCTTACCACTGTGTATTTAATTAGAAAAAAATACACTCAACACATTCGTCACTAGCATTGCCTTAAAAGTAAAAAAAATGAAAGTCTATCTGTTGAGCAACGAATGGTAATGAATGCCCCCTTCATAGCATAAGGAAGAAGGGCCCATTTGCACTACTAACAGCGGTAGTATCACCAAATATTTGTTTCGAATCAAGGACCATTCGCTGTTGCTTAACGCTGTACTTATGTTGTTCTGTCGAACATTTTGTCTGTGTTTATGCTTGCCTAGATATTTTCAGAACAGAATTTTATCGAAAAAAAGATGTACTCAAGGAAGCGTTCCAGTTGTTTAACTCTGTCAATAATGAAACATTCCTGATGTTAACGTTTGCTGTCTTAGATGTTTATTTCTGCCTCCAATTTGTGGCATGATCAGACCTGTTTAGCTGCTATAATGTTTAATACTAAGCTTACATTTTATAACCGTTTTGGTTTAAATGCCTTTGAGCCAGCTCTTTGTCTTGAAATACAACATATTTCTACTCTCAATGGTGGTTTGAATGGACTATTTAATCGGTCTGAAATAATATCGAAAATATAATTGACAAATTACATCACTGCACGCATGTTGTGTCCATCAACGTGACAGCACTCTCTGAGCGAGGTGTGGTGCTCCCATTTTAACCTAAAATGTTGAGAAACTCCCTATGCGCAGGCATCGAGGTTTCATACCCTGGTACTCGCCAAGAGAAAGCAAAATTGCGGACTCCACTTGTTCCGTCTGCACGTGAGAGGGTGTTTCCCCCTCGCACGCATGGGGTTTTATTCTTAGTGCTCCAGTTTCCTCCTAAATGTAAAAACTCGTTAATTGAACGATTATATTTTAATTTATAGGTAACCGCAGAGCTTGGGCAATTGGTGGTGCCAGGTTAGTGCTGCTGCTGCCTTCCTGCTTGTCTGTGGTTCCTCCTCGCGCCTCTGAGTCGTTCTCTCTCTCTTCGAGATTATGTATGTTTAACTTCTTTCGCACCATACGTAGCCAACCGTGCTAATCGGAGGTGCGGGGGAAGGACAACAAACTAAACACAAAAAACAGTTTTAAAGAACACTGCGTGGTGCGTTACAAGTTCAAAATATGATGCTTGTAATACTTTTCGGTTTTTGGCTTAACAGTGGAAAGGTCGACATCTTTCAAATATTTCAACACATCATTAGTAGCGTGATAACAAACATTTTAATAGACCAATATAAGATGATCATGATGACTTGAAAATATTGTAATTCAGCCATCCGTTAATATAAGCCCGTTAGCTATCACGACCAGCCAATTATTCCATAACACATACGTGTTTGCCCGCTTATCCCGGTATAAGGCCACACATTGTCAAATATAACATTTCAGATAAGTTTGTGTATTCGCTCTTTCTTGTACTCTGTTGGTTTCCCTGAGTGATAACAAATTAATATTAGTGTGATCTTATTTTTCACGTGACTCATGTTGCTGTAGAGTAACAACTGTTATAGTAACGCATTGTATAATTCAAGGGTGGGGTTGTCTATGGCAGTGTATATTACGGTGAATAGTCGTGTAATGTTGAAAAAAGTTTCGTTGGAGGCATATCAATATAATGCATAATGTTAGAGCTTACATTGGGCTGTGTATACGATATTATACAATGTGGTTTAGATTGGAAGGTATAACATTGTAATGTGTAGTAGTCTAGTCTATAGCAAAGTTGTAACGCAACGCAGGACAGAGCAGCACATCGTGGCTGTTTCTCTCTCTCCCCCCTCCGTTCCGAGCATAGATGGATTCGTCCGTCTGAACAAAGCTCATCACTTTCCGTGGTGCTAACGTTGAAAAGAAAAAAGAAACCGCCACTTTTTTCGACATAGAATTAGTAGCTCAGCTGATTGGAGAGTATATGGAGTTTATTGATAACATTGATGTAGTTTACATTTGAGTTTTTTTTTTATCAATTTACTATATGGTATTCATTATATAGTGTAGTGTATACCCAGTTACTTTATGTTAATAGCTCAACATCGGCCTATTGTATGATAGTTGGGTAGTTGCAGTTCTTTAGCGTCAATATACTAAATGCCTCTGTTGATATGTAAACTCTGACTTTAACATAGCTACTTCCGTGACCAGTTACATGCTAATCCCTCACACTAACATCATACTAATCTCCCAGTTACATGCTAATTTCTGACTTTAACACCCTGCTAATCCAACACATTAACACAGCTACTTCAATGCTAAATTCTTCTGTTGATATGTAAACTCCTTTGTCAAGGTGATCTTCTCCTACCCAACTTAAAAGACGCTGCCAAGCTTAGCAGTGTTCATTGAAGCGCTGTCGTCCCGACAATTATGTTCCTTCACCTGAAGAAGGCTACTTGTGTTGTGGCTGAAACGACGTCGTGAGAACTTTATTTGATTATGTTTTATTTGCATTATTTTATTTCCATTCTACGAGACTTTACCGAAAGAACCAAGAAGATTAATCCCTGCAGTCACGAAAGCTTTAAATCAAAACTATTATTTTACATTGAGGTGGTTGAGCTAGATGATTGCACTAGGACTAGCGGAGTAGTGAATCACTGTGATGCTTCCTCCTTCGTCTTTGTGAAGCAGGCATTGATTTGTTATTTATTTTATGGTCCTATTCTTTGCGATAAACGGTCTGGCATTGTTATCCATATGAAAGCATATATTGGATAAAAAATAGTGCAGCCATAATTTTTTTAATGCTGCCTTAAAGAACTGGCCTTACACTATTCGCCGGCACTCACACATCTGTCAACGGAATCTATGAACTTTTATATAACAATTGATTTTGCCAGAAAAAAAAACATTACCAAGTTACGTGGATAGTGCATGCATGTTTTTCACACAGACTGCATGATGAAGTATGAACAGCTTTTCAAAGTGAGAAAAATGTGCTATGAGGAAGGGCCTGTTGTTGTCGGATGTTTTGTTTGTATTAAGAGCTAGCTAGCTACATTGGGGTGTAACTTAGATCACAGTGATGCTCATACGAATGCATTCCATCTTCAGAAGAGTGGCATTGTGGTAATTTTTGTCTGACATTTTTCACAGACATCAATTGTGTGGCTTGACAGTTGTTTGACATTAAGGCCTGTAAAATGCTGACGCCGCGTGTTTTGCAATGACGCATGCCAAACAAATGTCATAACTACATTTTGATGGACGCTTTCTGCAGGCGCATTTTGACCTATGATGTTTATTTGTGAGTGTAATGATTTACTGTTCGGGTGATGAATTAGATGTTTGGGGGTAGGATTCTTGGTTCATATTATGGATAGAGCATTGGGGTCGGCTTCATTTTATGGTTATGGCTATTTATATGGTTAGTAGGGATAGCGATGGAGTGGAAAGGCTTTCATCCAGTGGTAGAAAATGACCAGTGATTAGGAAAATGTCACCCTTATGTGTCTAAAGTTACGTTTGTATTACGGATTGCATTAGCCCTTTGGAGGTGAGTTATAAGGTTATGCATAGGGCTAGATACTTCAATTAAAGCGAAAACATATTAAAGGGAAATTTAACGATGTAAAGCGTGTAAAGTTCTGCAATGCCTCCTTTAGATATCCCGTGGCCTTTGTAGGTGGGTATTTTAAGACCAGGACATACACTGTGTGATCCACCAACCCCAGCTCGAAATAAGCTGCTGCGTCCAGCAATAAAAGGTAATGTTTAACCAATTCAGTCATTGATAATGAGGTAATTGAGTGACTTGGAGTGCTGTTGTCAAGAGTGGAAGGTCAGCTTGACTGCAATCCTGGGTTTGAATCCAGGTTTCAGCTACATGTGCTTAAACTGGGATTTTTGAGTGCAGCCAGTTCATGGATGGTCTCAGACTAATCACAAATAACTGCACAATATTAAATTTGGCAAAATTCCAGCTGCGACAAATTTAATAAAAATAACGGTTGCCCGTCATTATGCAGGTGTAGTGGGTTCCAGTGACACGGAGACGGTAGCGTAGAGGCAGCACTTATTTATTTATAACAAGGGGTCACACAGAAGGGGTAGCGGTCCCTTCACCCGAATACGCTTAGGAATATCCCCCTAGGCTATCTAGCCTAAGCCTATGTTCCCGGATTCCTCCAGCTAAGGGCTCTAGGGGAGGCTGTCGGATCTGGCCCTGGTCAAGCGCAGATCACAGCACCCCGCCAACCAGACCGGCCCTTAGAAGGACGTCGGCTCTGTGGCTCCTGGGGCCATACCACTGGCTTGCCCTGCCGATCCTGAGAAGGACAGCGGTCAGGGGAGTCCCAGGGTTCTACTTAGCTGGTCTTCCTCCTTCCCTGGTACTTCATTCTTGGCCCCAACACTCTGCCCCGAGCTTCCTCACTCCCCGCCCTTTATACCCATAACCCACTGGGCGGGGCTGTAGAAGCGGACGTCATTGTAGCCACCTAGGATCACACCAAGGTTCGGCTGTACCTCTGTATCACACAACACCCCTACATAGGTGTAGTGGCATAGAATAGTAAAGTAGCAGCATAGCGCTGGCTGCTGGCAGGGAAGGGGATCTGCGGCTTACGGCAACCCTGACGTCAGCAGGCCAGGTTTTTCACCAGAGGGGGATCTAGGGAAAAGGTCACAGGAGGGGCACACCAAGAACCCGCTGGTAGGTTCTATAAAGGGGGCGTGGCCAGGGTTGGAGGCAGTCCATGCTGACAGTATAAAAAGGGCCCCTGTAGGGGACCTCGGGGCTGTTGATTGTAAGTTGGATCCCCGTCGTGATGCTCAAGTCCATCGTCATCGTTGTCACCATTCTTCTCTTAGTCGCCGCAGTCGTCATCGCTTGTTATTGCGCTGTTATACAGTTGTTGGCTGTATTGGTCAGCGCCATCGATGTAAGACGGCTAGTGTTGTGTAGCCTAGGCGTCTGTAGGGTGTGTGAATTGAGATTGAGTATAATTAAAGTGCCTTCAAGAATTACTGCCTCCGAGTTGAACCACTGCACAGGAATGAACACCAATCCCAAGTGCGCCCTCCACTGTGTAAAGATACAAAGGGCATGA